ATAACTTCGCTGAAGACTAACACCCAAAGTTATATGGTGGTTTCTAAAAGAAAAAGAGCACAAAACACTTTATTTATTCATTTATTTATTTTTTGTCAAAACTGAAGTCCAAGCCCCGAGCTTTTTCTGTCATCCCTGAAATTTGAAATGACTTGTTTCTAACAATAGGTGGCGCTTCAAGGAGTCTTTGTTCATTCCAGGGCTCTTCCCACTGACCTTTGCTTTCAGTTTTCAAAACCAACACAAAAATTCCTGATCCTAAAATACTCCAACAACTGATGGGCTGTACCTGCTACTAACTCTGATACTTGTTGTGGAGGACCAAAATTATTGTAAAAGTCCACAACAAACTATGATGACAAGCAGAAGCAGCTTCAGGCTTTTCAAAAATATGTTTATTTTCACTTTTTTAAAGTTCCTCAATTTATTTTTTAAATATTTATTTGCTTTTTTAACTCTTAATAATAGAAGAGTTTAACATTTTATAGTAAGGATTTAAATATATCTATTTTTTTTTTGTTTGTTTTCAAGATAGGGTTTCTCTGTGCAGCTTTGACTAGCCTGGAACTTGCTTTGTAGACCAGGCTGGTCTCGAACTCACAGAGATCCACCTGTCTCTGTCTCGCGAGTACTAGGATGAAGGGCATGTGCCACCACTGCCTGGCTAAATTTTAAATCATATGTTTATGTGTATTTTTCTATGTGGGTTTGTGTAGGTGCAGGTTCCCAGAGAGGCCAAAGGCTTCAGATCCCCTGAAGTTGGAGCTATACGTGGTTGTGAACCACCTAACATGGGTGCTGGGAATCAAACCTGGGTCCTCTGGAAGAAGAGTAAGCGCTCATAACCACTGAACTGTTTTCTCAGCCCTTGTGAGGATTTTTAACGTTTACAATGTTCAGTGTCTTAACTGGGAATAAAAGTTAAAGCCTCCAGGTAAATGTTAAAGTTACATGTCTTAACCTGAACTTAATGGACTGTTACAAAACCTCAGTCAAGATACACATGTGCATATGTGAACACAAACATACATGTTCACATGTGAATATGGCAAAGCAATCGGTCAAACCTAAAAGTCTTAGAACGAAAATAAAACCTGACTGACCTGAAAAACAGTTATAAGGCAAACTAAGCTTATTATTTAGGGATGAAACTCCAGGAATGAGGGCCCTCTTATTTCTTCTTTATAAAGTATGTTGATACAACACCAACCAATTATTGATACAGATTTTTCCCAGCTCACAAGCACTTGTATGTGTTTGACTCCATCTGGAGCATCAGGACATCAGAACAGAGTTTCTGTTAGCTTCAGGAGAAACCAAATCTCACTTAGCTCTGTGCGGCAGAGCTGGGACTTCTAGTGGCTGGGTCCTCCGTCTGGCTTGCTTTAGGACACTGTTCTTCTGACCTGCCTGCCTGTGACACTGGACAGAGGGCACATGGGTAAACAGGACACACTCGAGATGTGTGACCATGGAGCAGGAGGACACAGTACCTTTGTTTGTGCTTGTATGTGATCACTCACCATAGAGCATCTGAGATTTTTGTTGTTGTTGATGGGATTGCTTTAAATGCCCTGGCAATTATGAAGTAAGGAAGCTAAGTATACATTTTTAATGTTCTTGTGACTTTTGCCTATAGTGACCTACAATATGCGACTTTTTCCATAAATAAAGGACAAACTGTGGTTTCTGATTGTTATTTCATTCATTCCATTAGAAAACAAACATTAAAGTAGACAAGCTCTAGGAGACATCTCAAGTCTTATTTGTTTTCCTGAAAAGATAATTTGGTTTTCTGCTGTTCCATCTGGAACGGGGTAGAGCTCCAGGTTTGAAGCAGAGAAGGGTCTTAGGCCCATCTGTACCGGCGAAGGTGTGGGGGGGGAAGCACTCAGATTAGGAATCGCTGTTGCCCAGAACTGAAGAAACAAATTCATTACTTTAAGGGACCTTCCGCTCCTCGTTCCAAGTCAGAAGAGCAGAAGAAATGACTCCTTGTGCTTCCTCAGGAAAATGAAAAGGGAGCCAGGGCCAGGGAGCAGGATTTAGGTGCTGTGGGCTAGGTTAAAAAGTGCCTGTTTTGTATTGAGGCAGAGCTGCTTCCTCGTGTGGACATACGGCTCTCCTGAGTGGACAGCCGTGTTGTTGTGATTCACCTGCACCTAGGAAGGGAGGCTCTGGCTCAGAACAACCACATCACAGGAGACCAGTAGTACACAGTGGGGCTGAGTGAGAGTCCAGAACATTCGGCGTCATCTACTCAATGCAAGACTTCATCTCTCCCATTGGCAGAATTTAAGACCGTGCAGAATATGCGAGGGTGGGAACTAGGCTTCTGAGAACGAGGGGAACATTTATAGAAATCTTAGCGACTAGGTTAGTCTATTTGCGTCTTCACAAAGGCTGGTCACGAAAAGAAACTGAAAATACATGCCCATCCTTTCAGTGCCTCTGAAGATGCTCAGGAATACAGCGATTATTGCCCTAAAAGGAAAAGAGAGAAAATGCCCATTGCTGGCTGCTTATCGATGGATTTGGGTCTGCTAATGCGTCAGCTTCTGTGCTGTTTTGGTTTCCAGTTTGTTTCTCAACAGGATGCGAGGCTATGGATGATAATATAGTTAATTCCACCGCTAATAACGTAACTTATGACTAAATCCTCGGAAATGTAGAAGGTATTGCTTGTTAGCCTGGAAGCACACACACAATGGCTCTGATGTTTTTATTTGGGCAAATAAATAAATCAACAAGTCTTTGAGCACTTTAATTCCTTTTAAGTCACCAGCACTTCTGAAGCATCTGCCAGATGAGTTTGCCACTTTATTCTCTTTCAACAAAAGAGAAGGCTAATTGGGTTTCCCATGAAACTGAAGAGCGAGTGGGGCCTCCCTTCCCACCCCACTCTCTTTAGACAGATCTTAGCTTGGGGAACTAGAAATCACTGCCGTTTCCCCACTGACCCTTACATCCCTTCTTTTTCAAAAATGTTTCCTACACCGGCTGTTTACTGCTAGACTAAACTCACTGCAATGAAGTTTACTAAATAAAAAGGAAGGTATGTTTCTAACTAAAAACTGATAATTTCTCTCAAATCTCATGACTGCAGGAAATAAAAAGATGAAGCATACTTCATTAAATGTCTTCCAGATTCACGGTGGCAAGTCTACCCTGATCCTAACTAGGACTGTGACATCTGACATCTAAGAAAACATACAGGAGGCATAGAAGCAGAATCAATTTTGCACAATATATTCAACTTTGAAATAGAACATGACATATGATAATAATATTTTAACAGGGGGGCTGGAGAGATGGCTCAGTGGTTAAGAGCATTGACTGCTCTTCCAAAGGTACTGAGTTCAATTCCCGGCAACCACATGGTGGCTCACAACCATCTGTAATGAGGTCTGGTGCCCTCTTCTGGCCTGCAGGCATACAGACAGAATATTGTATACATAATAAATAAATAAATATTTAAAAAAAAAATAATATTTTAACAGGAAATCTCTGAAATTAGATTTTTATAAGCGTTGTGTCGTGAAAACTGTGCATTGCTCCTTGTCTACGTTTTATCACTTTGGCCAACTGATCTCTGCCCCCAATTTGCACAGACGACTGGGAAGAGCCAAGTCCGATACTCTGGGATGATGCTGTGTCTGATTTGACCCTTCCAATCCAGTCACAAGAAACAGAGCCACTGCCGTCAAATCTCGTTGCAGTCCTGCATCTGTGGGAAACAGACAAGACACCAGGGCCCCACCAGCTTTACACTTGAAAACGCGACTTTAGCACAGTCCCTAGCTTGAAGGGTGAGTAGACAGTGTCTTGGCTTCCAGCATGTCCTGTCATGCTCTGGTGGACCTGCTGATTGTTGATGTTCTCGGCAGGGAAATATCCTGGATTTCTGGCACACAGCTCTACACACAACTGAATTCTAAAAGCTCGAAAGTGAAGTAGGCAAACAACAACAACAAAAACCGTTTTTAAAACCTGCTGCTTTAAAAAAATTACTTGGAGCCCAAAATATCCAAACTCACATTGGCGGATGATTTAGACCCTGGAGTTCTGTTGTTTACCAAATACTATTCCTAATACAGTTGCCTGGGAAAATATTTCCTATTAGCAATTTTTGGGGTCTTAGGTTATTTTTTTTTCATTCTTTCTTATTTTCTTTTTCTTTTTTTAAATTTATTTATTTATTAAAGATTTCTGTTTCTTCCCCGTCTTAGGTTATTTTTAAAACCCTCTATGGAATTTTTAGTTCCGCATACTTCTCTGTATCCTGAGCTACATTGTTCTGATAATTGATGTCCTAAATCCCATAGTTTGTGAAGAAGCAAAAAGCATTAGCATTCCCCACTTACTAGAGTCCCCCACCCTACAGCAGACACGCGATTAAAACTAAAACTTCAGATGAGTTACGCTTATTTTACTTGATTTATAGTTGATTAAAAAAAAGTTGGTGTTTTGACAAAATTATCCAAACGTTACTAAACAGGAAGGACTAGGGATTTTTTTCTTAATTGTAATTTTTGGGATCGTATCACGAACAGAAACAGAGCCATCACTAAAATCCCACAGCAGGAAATCCCACCCTGTGGTATGCCATTATATTACGTTTGCAAAAGTGAATGTCCTTTCTGGAACTTTCATATTTCACATGCTCTGAACTTCGCTGTTTTCATTTTTCTGTATAAGCACACATTTTTGCTCTACCTGGGGCATGGTGGGGTGGTGTACAAGGCTTTTTTGTTTTGTTGTTGTTCTTCTTTAATGTTCTTCATAACTCTTTTCTAGCTCATTTTTAAAGGGCGAATCCACTGGTTCCCTTAAATTGAAGGCTGACAGCTCACACACTAACAGGGGCCCTGGAACTTGTGTTCCTGCCTATAGTTGCGCTCGCAGGCAACTTTTTCAGAGTCCACATCCACCGTCGCTCAAATCCTGCTCCGGGTTTTCGCGCAGCCCGCGTGATTGACACATGATATCACCGGAGGCGGGTCCCAGCGTGGAGGTGGAGGTGGCGGCGACGCTGAAATGCTGCGGAGCCCGCGCGCGAGTGCTCAGCACGCAGGAGTTTGCGGCGGACCCGCAGCCAGAGCTCTGCGGAGTAAGGAGCGGCTGCGGGCGGCGTGCATGTGCCGGGAAGGCCGGCCCCGGGCTCTGCGCTAGGCGAGAGCCTTGCCCTCCCGCCGAGGACCTGGCGAGGTCAGGTAAGAATGGTGCTTATTTATTTATTTATTTATTTTTATTTTCAAGGAACTGGACGTTTTCGGAGCTGGCCGTAGCTCGGTGCCCGGCGCTCTGCGGTCGGCCCCGCAGCTGGAGAGCTGGCTCCTTGCGCTTTCCCGTAGCCGGTCAGCGAGTTCCGCGGGTGCGGACGCTGGCTGGCATCGCCGCGCACCCGCGTGTCTGTGCGCATTGTTGGCGACCGACCCGCCGGGCGCTCGTGCCAGACCTGACTTTGCCGTCCCGAGTGCGGGCTTGCCTCGAGCAGACGCGCGGCTCGGACGCGCTTTGCGCTGCTGGGCATTCCGTGGGGCCAAAACGTGCACGGCCGCGTGTGTGTCCCGGGCTCGTGACTGTCCATCACCGCGAGTAGGACAGCGTCCCGGGCTGGCAAGGGACTCACGTGTTTCTGTCTCTGCTCGTCTGCAGCCGGCGTGGCGACTGCGGGGACGCGGACCTGCGGGGACCCGAGCGCCCGGGACGACGCCGGGCCGCGCGCCTGACGACCGGGACGGGACGGTGCTGTGGAGCGGGGGCCGCGCGCACCCGGCGGATGTCCCGGAGCCGCCCTCGGCCGCCGCCAACCGCGGAGAAGCGCCCCTGCCCGGGGGCCGCCGAGGCCGCAGCGCGGGCTATGAGCGCCCGGCCGCCCCGCCGCGCTTGATGCGGCGCGCACCCCGCCCGATCGGCGCCCCGGGCCGGCGCCGCGGAGGCCGAGGTGAGTGCGGGCGGCAGGTGCGGGCCGGGGCGGGCCGGGCGATCCTGGCGGTCGTCGCGCAGCCCGTGCCAAGCGCGCGGCACCCGATGGCGCTGGGGATCCAGCGGCCGCCTGTGCTTGGAGCGCAGTGCCTCGGGACGCGGGGAGAGGGCGCTGCCTCCTCCCGCCCGCGAGCTGTATTCATTCATAACTTTCCCCCGCCGGAGCTGCGGCGGTTCGGTGCCCCCGAGGCCTCGGCGCGGGACCTTAGCGCCCGGCGCTGCTGCCCACAGTGCTAATGTCTTCGTGCACCGGCTCCTCTCCGGGCGGGTGCGGGGCGCCGAGGTGCTCCGCCAGAGCGAACTTGCTTGGGAATGCCCTGTAAAATGCGAATTAAAGCTATGCCTGGGGGTTTCATTACTCAAGCCATTCCCACGTCTTCCTTTATTGTGGATGAGACTTGGCACGTTTAAAGTCTTCGTTTTGGAGTTTTAAATTTTTATTTAAAAAAAAATAGATAGGGCACAGGAATAACGATTGGCGGCTTTCCAGTATCGTTTAGGGCTTTGGCACTAAAGGCTGCTGTTATGCATGTATATCTCGTGTGAGAAGAAGGTAAAATAAACCAGAGGGGCTCCCAAGAAGCTAAATATGTGTAGTCTAGGAACATTAGTTAGCATCCGTGACAAACTGCTTTTCCTTTAGACTTGTTTTTTTTCTTTTGGCACCGGAAAAGTGGAGAGGGGTGCTGTCTTGATTTAGGGTGCATCTGTGGGTTTGGAGGAGGGCATTTCTGTGGAAAATATCCTAGATATCTACTGCCCGGAAACGGAAACGTCAGCGTTTGGTCTGTTTTAGGAAGAATACGTTATAAATTGGAAATTATTTCTCGACATGGAAACGTGTTTGTTGTGTGAAGATATTAGTGTATTTATCTTCTTACAAAAGGCGTGTCGATTCGGGGCTTGTTGAAAATCAAGGTCTGCCGTGAAGGTGAATGAAAGGCGTTAAAGATAATGCAAAAAGACCAGGGTTCCTCTCCCTGCTCTCTAGGCTTGACACTTGTGCGCAAAAGTTATTCTGGTTTAACTTTTAAAGAAACATACACAGTGTGTGTGTGTGTGTGTGTGTGTGTGTGTGTAAGTATGTGTAAGTATGCATGCCTGCGCCCGCGCGCGAGCTCTAGTGCCAGGACAGCCAAAGCCGCAGCCTTCTTAGTTCCGTTTAGATTCCTTTTCCTCGTCTCACAGATCAGTGATGAGCTTTAGATCCTGACTTGGGCCTATTGAGATTCCACGTGAGCTTGGAATAGCCAGTGTTTTGGAAATTGCCTTGATTAATTTTCTCATTAATCTAAAGCTCTTAACAGCGTACAAATAGCCGAGAGGCCGCAGAACTAAAGCCATTCTTAATCTTTGAAAAGTAGCTGACGTTTTCCTTACGTGAACTGCCAGTGAACTGATAGTGAACTCTCTGAGAACAGTTCCAGGGCGCACACTGAATGCTGCCTTCATCTTAATTATTTGTTAGGTTTGCAAACAGGAAGGCATGACTTCCTCTGCATTTTAGAAGCCGGAGCGCAGCTTCTAATTTTTGTGGCATGAGATCTTTTGCTCGTTTGCTTCCTGTGATGTCCTCTGCAGTCTTTTTTGGAGTTGGATTCTTGCCAGGATTCTGCATCACTGAAACCAGCCCATGGAGGAGATCATTACCAGGTGGTTTGGGCAATTTGTTACTTGACAGGCGTCCCCCTTCCCCTTTCTCATTTCTTTGCTCTCTCACTCTTCTTTAGGATTTCCGATGCTTGCCAGGTTTCCGCTGACTGCCGGAATTGGAGATCACTCCACATGGATCCCCCAAGCCAGCATGGCAGCCACACTTCCCTAGTGGTGATTCAGCCACCGGCTCTGGAAGGCCGGCAGAGGTTAGACTATGACCGGGACACTCAGCCTGCTGCGATTCTGTCCCTGGACCAGATCAAGGCCATCAGAGGCAGCAACGAATACACAGAGGGACCTTCAGTGGTGAGAAGACCAGCTCCTCGCACTGCACCAAGACCCGAAAAGCAGGAAAGGACTCATGAAATCATACCAGCCAATGTGAATAACAGCTACGAGCACCGACCTGCCAGCCACTCCGGCAATGCCAGGGGCTCGGTGTTGAGCAGGTCAACCAGCACCGGAAGCGCCGCCAGTTCAGGGAGCAGCAGCAGCGCCTCTTCTGAGCAGGGCCTCTTGGGAAGGTCTCCGCCCACCAGGCCCATCCCCGGTCATAGGTCAGATAGGGTCATCCGGACCCAACCCAAGCAGCTGCTTGTGGAGGACTTGAAGGGTTCCTTGAAAGAGGACCCCACCCAGCACAAGTTCATTTGCGAACAGTGTGGCAAGTGCAAGTGTGGAGAGTGTACAGCCCCCCGGACTCTGCCCTCCTGCCTGGCCTGCGACCGGCAGTGCCTCTGCTCCGCGGAGAGCATGGTGGAGTACGGGACCTGCATGTGCCTGGTCAAGGGCATTTTCTACCACTGCTCCAATGATGACGACGGGGGCTCTTACTCGGATAACCCATGCTCCTGTTCGCAGTCGTACTGCTGCTTCAGATACCTGTGCATGGGAGCCCTGTCTTTGTGCCTCCCCTGCTTGCTCTGCTACCCGCCCGCCAAGGGCTGCCTGAAGATGTGCAGGGGTTGTTACGACTGGACCCACCGCCCTGGCTGCAGGTGTAGAAACTCCAACACTGTCTATTGTAAGCTGGAGAGCTGCCCCTCCAGGGCTCAGGGCAAGCCTTCATGATTTCTGGAGGTGGCTTAGACCTCCGGAGCGCCTGACTTCCGAACTGTGGCTGTTCAGAAACGTGGTATTTCTTCTCGAGTCTCTCCTGTCTCTGTAGGAGCGGATGGTGATACTGCGCCCAGCTCGCTCTCACCCCACGTCAAGGGTGCTGGGAGCTGGGGGTACCTGTGGAGCGTTGGTGTGATGCCAGCTTTCCAGCTGTGTCCAGCGAGGATGCATGCACGCCCAGACTTGGCTGAGAGATGTTCGGGGTCGGGTACTGTGGGATCAGGGACTTGGTTTGGTTTATTACAAAGTAACCATGTAAGTGCTTAAGTAAGCTATATATTAATCTGCCTCTGATGAGAGCTATCTTAGCCCCCATCCCCCAGTCAAAGGGGAGGATCTGCTCCTTAGAACACCGTTTGCTCTGCGGACAGCTTGCTGCCCTCTCCTTCCAGCCCCCAGATTCTCCCCACAGTGCACTGTGGAGATGCCAGTGGGTAGTCCCCCCCCCCTTCCCACCCTTTCTGCCTTAGATCTAGATCCACCCTGCAATGTTGGTTTTCACATTGGAGATGATGCTGGCTAGTCCGCCCTGTTCCTCCTAGCATCCTGTGTCTGTGAAGGACTTCCCACCCCCACTTCGCTGAGGGCAGAGCTAACTGTAGTTGAAATTCCTGTCTGGTCCGCCCCTAGGCCTCTGAGAGCTACAGTCCCCTAAGGTGCCCTTGGCCTCTGACTGGCCTTTTGACTCTAAACAGCTGGGTGTTTCCAATCCTTCCTGTGTTTTCATTGCCTTAGCCACAAATTGTGGTGCTTTTTGTATATTATATGTGTAAACCACAAAGTTGAATCCTGGCTATTTTTAAGACAAAAGTCTGTTAAACTTTTTTATTGTAAAGAATATTTATTATGCGAATCTCTATTATTTTATGATATTTATTGCAAAAGACTGTTGAAGTGTACTCATATCTGAATATAACATATCACTACTTCATGAGAAACAAGATGACTCGAAGAAAGTACATAAAGTACATATATTGTTAACTACAATGCAGAAAATATATTAACTAATGAAACCGTCTCTTGAGTTCATTCTTTTTAGCCTATGCTGCTGTGGAAATGTTACTTGATTTAATTAACCTTTTCAGACTTGAAGTTACAAAGTCTGGGCACAGGTGGCTTCAAGTTTTAAACAGAATGTTTCCTGCAGAGTCGTTTAGTCAAAATTCTATGGTCTGGGTTGTTTCATCAAATACCCAAATGAGTTCTTTGTAAAGTAAAGGGTGTTTTGTTTTGTTTTCTTAAGATTAATGTCCCCACTTTATTTTGTGTGAGTTTTGTTCATATCATAGTTTCTTAAGATGAGGCAAAACTACTTTTTGAAAAGTGTTTACCTTAACTCTGACCGTTCAGAGATTAGTTTCCAACCGTAGGGCTTAAATGATTTAGTAATGTAAACATGCTAGGAGCCTCTGGAGCTGTCCCTCCTGCAAGCATTTTTGTAATTAGGAATGAGGTTTGCCAAAGGAAGCTCATATGCCAGAGAGCTGTCCAGGAACCTTCCTGTGGCAGCCTTGCCTTTTCCTTTGGTGGACGGCACCCAGCTGCATTCCATGTCCTGTTAGCCTGAGCCTCACATGGGAAAACACAATGTCGATGTCTTACTCCTGGGGCTGGAAAAGTGACTATGGACCCGGAGTCACGGTCTGGTAGACGTCTGCATCTTAGGTTTTGCTTGTAGACCTCGGTCTCACCAGGTCCCTGACCTGCATTTGAGAGGAGCATGGCGGTAATTCAAACCCAGGGCACCGGAAGCCACCCAGCTTCCTGTCGTGGTTTCTTGTGTATTCTTCCATAGCTGAGCTTTCGTGTTTTATCAGCCAACGTGCGACTGGGAGAAACTTGACGTCGTTTTCTGTCGGGTCACTAAAGCTGCTGTGCTGCTTGGCATCATGATATTCTATAGTTAAATATTTTCTCAGCTCGGCCCCCAAGGGGAAATTTTAAATGAACTAAAGTGTTCAAAGTGAAATACATAGTATTTCAAAGTGTGAACTTGGGAACTTGAGTACCCATTTCACTGATGTCTTAGTGTTTGTATTTTCCTGAGCTGGCACTTTGCTGAAGTCTGTCAGCAGCAGGCTGCACGGGCTCTGGCTTTTCCAGGTGCTGTCAGACACTGCATCGTTAGGAGCTGGTGTGACTTCCAGTGGAGCTGTAGTGACCAGACTAAGAAGCATTGGCTTAGTCTAAAAGCAGTTGAACCTTTTTTAGCGGAAAGCTTGCTGTATGTAGGGGTTTGCGTCAGCTGTGTGCTGCCAAGTTTTAACGCCAGCTCTAGACAGAAAGCTTATTGCTTGTCTTGGTGTTCGTTCCTTCTCTGATAACTTCAGACTGCTCAGAAGTGGCGTAGGTTTACAGCTGGGCCCCTTGACAAGCCTGTCAGATTGGCAAAGCATAGACCTCTGACTCTTCATAGACAGGACAGCCGGCTCTGTGATGTTGTCTCTTGCTAAGTTCTGGAGGCCTGGGCTTCTGAACCTAACTAACCCTGACCACTGCCGTGAACTTGATAATGTTGGCAGGGAAGGCACACCGGGCATACGGCCTGAGTGTTGCATTCTTACGCTTGGCCATTCTACTTCAGCTGGAACCCATGGCAAATTGGATGCCTATAAAACAAAACAAAAGCAAACAAAGGCTAGCCTTGAGCTTCCAATCCTCCTGCCTCGGCCCCCCAATATGCTAGCATCATAGATGTACCGAGCACGCATGTTGCTGGCTTGGTGTTGAGGAAATGCTTCATTTCTGGTGTATTTTCTTAATGCTGATTTTTTCTTCTTTTGGAGACTTATTGTTGACTTAGGTAATTTAATTGGGAACTGAGCAATTTCCTGTACCAAAGCTTGTGAGATGGAACCCAGCAGGAAGGGGGAATAGCCAAAGTAGACAAGTTCCGTTCTCTGAGGGCCAAGGTGACTCTTTAAATATAGCCCATACCATAGGACGCGCTAGTTGTCACTCAAAAGCCGTGGTCTTCAGTGTGAAAGGAAATGAACGGAGAGCTAATCAACTCATTTTTTTTTTTAAAAAAAAAACCTGATTTGGAGTTGAACAAAATCTCAACTGAAAAATTCTGTTTTCTGAGCCTAGCCGGGGGAAAAATTATCATGAGGCATTAAAACAAGAGGCTTTATTATCTTTCCATTTAAAAAATAATGTGATGAGTTTGTGGCAGATTTTATATAAAACCATGTAAGAACATCAACTCCTTTTGAAACATACCAGTTACTGAATCAGAAGAATCTGGATGGGCCTTTAGTACATCCCCACTGTGCTTTTTTTGTTTGTTCTGTTCTGTTTTTAGGTGTTTGAGGGCTTTTAAAGCATCTTCTAAACTTGAATTCTTTCGGTTAAATGATAGTCGAGATCCGTCTTCTACCATCACCAGCTCATGAGTATAGTACAATTAAAATGCCCATATATGTACCCGGCAGTGGCCGTCACAGGCATGTTTACGCACAGTAGACTGTTAGAGCTGCAGACGGATCCCTTCAGATGTTTTATATTTTACTGTGTGATTGATGGGGGAGGAGTGATGGGCATGTTGCGGTGCACAGGGCGGACGCACCAGGTAAACTCTGCAGTCATTATCGGTCCACCATGTAGGCTCCAGAGACTGCGCCATGGAGCAGGGAGGCAGGCGTCAGCCAGTATGTTTTAATATTTCTCTATCAGGTATGAAAACATGTTGCTGGTTAAACATTTTAAAATTCATAGGTATAAGGTCACAGGTTAGACCTGGTCTGAAGACTCTCTGGAGAAGGGACCCGTACTGTTTCAAAAGGCTTCGTGGGTGTCTTTATCAGGCAGTTTGGGAACGGACTCAGGTAGCTTGCTGTCTTCACTTTGAGATGAAGCAAAGCCCTGACTTCAGAAGGTAAAAGCTTGTGGTGTCTGGGGACTGGCCAGGACTCTTTCATGTGGTAGAGAGTTTTTCCTTCATTTTCCTCCTGGCTGCACGTTGCCTTTACTGCCTCGTTCTTTTATTTTTTATTTATTTATTTATTTATTTTATCAGTCTTGCTTCACAGTTAAGACACTTGACTGTGAGTTAAGAAATGGAGCCGTCTTCTCTGTATGTTTGCTCAGGTGTCTGGGACAAGTGGCAGATGGCTTTGTTGCCCTGGTTATTTTTCATGTGTTAATATTAAAATGACCTTCAAGCTGAGCCTCTGCCTGCCCTGTGCCGTCTTCTGTGGTGATAATAGACCTGATAGGGTCCTACCTTTGGCGAGAAGCAACAACAACTTGGTGTATAGGTGTGAACTTGAATGGTGGCAATCTTACCATTTTCCTGAGTGTGATCAAGAAGCTACATTACGAGTGCTTTCCTGCATCCTTGATTGATATTATCTGTCAGGCCATTCCATACCTGGTGTGCTAATAATCCTAACTGCGAAAGCCAGGAGAGAGCCCAGGACCCTGGCAGCACCGCTTGCTCACAATCTGAAAACTATTTGAAAAAAAGCCATCACGGACCTTTGATTTTTGTGCAGAAAGAAACAGCGGCTGTCTAAACCAGTCTTTATCTTAGGAGCAAGAAGTCCAGTGCCAGACAGCTATCGGCCTGGAGTCCCACTCTAGCAGTCAAAATAAACTATTGAAAAACAAGTAAACAGAGCCTTGCTGTCTGCATTTGTCTTCATAGTAAACAGCTGGAAGGAAGCTTAGAGACATCGACCAGGAAGATGGGGGCTTGATGGATGTTCCAGGTTAGTTTGCAATAAAATCGAGCGAATTTGTTAAAATAGTGGATGAGGTGGTAGTTTTGAAAACGACCAGCACCAGAAGTTAGACATAAAGGATGGAAGAAAACCCAACTCCGTTTGCTGGCTGAAGAGGCTAGTGTTATAGTCTTCCGGGAGGACAAGCCACCTGCCGTATCACTGATGGCCAAAACCTTCCTACCCAGAATCTCTGAAAGGGTCCTTGGCTTCTGACTCAGAAAGGGCCCCCATGCTCCTGACACTCAGTGTAGAAAGGTTCCAAAGTTAGCTTGCAGGCGCATGCCTAGAAATTGTGGAAGCAGAGCTCGGGTGAGGACAGCGACCCAGAGGACGAAGGTCCGGAAAGGCTAAACTGAAGTGGACGGAACTGGAGAGTAGGAAGAACAGAAAGTCGCAGGACCGCAGGGCTGGTTGCACATGCGCGCGCAAGGGAGCCAGCCGGGAAGACAAATGTTCGGGGCCCCGGCAAACGGGAGAAGGGTGGCTCTGTTGAATGGGTGTGATTCATTGTGGGTGGACTTGAGGAAACGTTTGAGAGCTACTGAGGTAATCATGAGGCATGACCGTGGGAAAGGCCTGGAGTTCAGGGAGGGAGCGAAGGCTTAGCGTCTGCGTGGCAGTGGGGGTGGCAGGAGGTTAACTGAGAGGTTTTCTGTTTATGGTTTTCCTTCCTTCCTTCCTTCCTTCCTTCCTTCCTTCCTTCCTTCCTTCCTTCCTTCCTTCCTCCCTCCCTCCTTTCCTCCCTCCCTCCCTCCCTTCCTTTCTTCCTTTTTTTTTTTTTGAGTCCAATCTGACCTGGAACTTACTGTGTAGCCATCGATGACCTTGACCCTCTGATCCTCCTGCCTCTAATTTCAGAGTGTTGGGGTTACACGTGTGTGCCGCCACTCTGCTTATGCGGTGCTGGGGACTGAACCCAGAGTCTCCTGCCTGTGGGGCAAGCACTCTCTGGACTGAGCTATCTTTAGCCTCAAGAGTTTTGGGAACCCCCTATGTTTTAGGCATCAGAAGGCAGTACAATGTCAATGGGAAGGGCAGGGGGTAAGTGGCATAGCCACCAAGGACCTGAGACTCTCAGATAGAAATTAGTAATGTACATCCAAACCGTGGTGAGCCAACTAGTGAAGAGCCATGATGAAGAGCAGCGGTCGCATGATAAACTAGTTAAAAAGTAACTTGGCAAGCCCCAAGAAAGAAGAGAGGAAAGAGCAAGTGGATATTGAGCGAGGACAGGAAGGCTAGAAAGGTAAGAAGACATGGGAGGTAGAAGACGTGGACCTGTTGATAGGTG